GTACAAAATTTTATTATCATAGGCAAAATTTCATTTTTTTCTGCTTAAGATAAGTAGACAAATTTTCTTATTTAGAAAAATTATTCTTTTAGTATTTGGTCAAAAAAGAATTAAAATTTCATGTTGAATACATAGATTCAGTTTTTACTGAATAATCTTGAAATTACACCAAAGAAAACATCTGCTAAGCTAACATATGGTTATTTATTTAGCAAATGCTGTAGAACTCATGTTTACTAAGAGACCATAACCTTTTTATTCCCAAATCATAAAATATTAGAAAGAAGAAAAATATACTTCCATATGGCACATGCTAAGTAAATCTGGTCTATGGTTTTAAGTAAATAAACATTGTTACTGAGCAAGGTTGTTTATTAGGAATAATCCTAAGATGTAATTTTTAATTATCTGATAAATTCAGACTTGGCCAGACAGCCAAAAGTAAAATCTCAAAGGTAAAATTTACCTTACAGTTTAGGTAACTGAGAATGTGTAAGATCATAATGGTAATGTGTTTTTATAGTGCTCACCTATTGTACAAGATTATTAAAAAGCAAGAGAATAAACCATAGTCGTGATAGACTGAACATATACCAGTATTTGCCCATTGACAGGTGTCCTTTAAAAAGCTAATGTGAGATCACTGTCACACAATACTGTGAAGACTAGAATAAAACTTTGTGAAAGAAATCCATTTAAAAAATATTTTGCAGTTGAGAAATGACAGTTTAAAAAAACCCTATTTAAAACAAAATGAAGAACAAAGAATTTCTAATGAGTTTGCACCCAGTAGGTTACACACTACATGAAGGTGGCAACAGACTTGTACATAAGAGCAAATGGAATCCGTTGAGCCTTGCAGTGACGATTAGCAGAAAATAAATGCTCTGCACATTTGAGCCATGTGCCTTTAACTCCACTATTATGTTTCCTACAATACGCTTTGCTCTTTCATTTACTTACATGACATAAGAAAAATGTGTGCCATTAGAAAGTAAGTTGACCTGTACAGGAGCACATCAAAGCAGTTAGCTTAGACCGGATCTTCGCACAGCAGGGCCGTTCAAAACATAACTTCAAGTAAATTAAGCAGTGCGCTTCACCTGCAGTTCTACGGAGAGAGAGATTTTTTTTTCTAATCTCTTTGCAAAGCAATAGAAAAGTTGTGGATGGCCTCATAGGTCTCTTCTACATGCAGAGACAGGTTTAACCTCGTCTTTGTGAGACACTGCTGAAATGTTTTGCAATAGTCATCTTTTTCACTGATTTCTTTTTTCTATCCTTTTTTTAATATGGCTCATTGGCTGAGTGCCACTTACTTATAGTTTAAAGCCCTCAAGAACAAAATGTAGAATTTTTGTGATGAAACGGTTTTAGAGAACATGTGAAGTAACCTTGGTAATAAATGAGTGATAAGCGAAAATACACCAATTAACACTTATTTTAAATGAGACCATGACAATGAAACTGGGAGAGGTGTGAGAGAAGTAAATGCTCAAATCTCCCATAGATGATGTCTCGCTCAGGCTCAACAGCAGCACAGAAGTGACTGATTTGTGTCATGTAAAGCTTAAGTTTACAATCTTGAGGCCTCTGTAATATTAGTAACTCAAAGAAACCATTGGCTTTCAGCCTCCATCCTCTCAAAGAATCAATAGCATTTCACAGATTTATTACATGAGATCATACCTACAGTGTGTCTCCCATCAAAGTTCCCTATAATCATTAATTTAAAAAAATCTGAACAAAAATGAAGCCTTCTTTTTTTCTCTGTTATCGCATCAGTATATGAACTAGCAATAAGAGAATGACAAACTCTTAAAGCAATCTTAAATTCAATATAAATTATTAATATAAATCAAAATAAACATTCAATATAAAAGTTTTTAAAGTGTTGATTGTGAAATCTATGCAAAAAAATCACAAGATGTAAATTAGTTGAATAATTAACAAATAAACTTAAAGATTAGAAGAATGCAAGCATCTTCAACTTGAGAACCTGTGTTTAATAAGTCTATTTAAACTTTTCTAAAATATTTGTAACTTTTCTTGCTGAAATTTTAAAATAAAATTTCATGAAGTGAAATTGAAAACAAAAGCTGTTTTAGACTAGACTTTTATTAAATCCATCCCAAAATGAAATATTTGGTTTTAAAACTTGCTAATTAGTTCAAGGTAGTGGAGCTGAGGGCTAATTTTATATAATTAAAAAAATTGAAATTTCAGCATGGTTCATAAATTATTGCCTAAGATCAGCATTGCTGAATCTGCTTGAAAGAACAAATGTTTTACTTAAGGCCAACAAATACAGCTAACAGCATTTTTGCATATTTGAGACACCTTGACAAGAGGATTAAACCATCTTTCTGAAGATTAGTAACATTGCTAAATTGTACAAACAGCTTTTCTCAAATATTCTGTCCCAATTTTTATTCCACTTAATAATTTTTAAACTTTATGATGTTATTTTAATTTCAAACTGGTTCACATTTCTATAAAATACTAGCATCGTGAAATCAAACAATGAAAGTTATACAGAAGTTTTGAAATTAGTACAGAAAATAGTTGGGCTTCATACATAAAAATGATCAACTGCTCTTCTACTGAATATTGTTTTCAATTATGTAGATGATAGAACTTTTCTCTGTGCATTCTAGAGCTGTTATCTCTTTCCACTATCAGATGAAGGCATTGAAAGTGAAACAAACCATCACTGTCTTAAGATTTATGTAAATTATGAGCAATAACAGATCAGCTGTGGGAGATGTAAACAATATACTAAATTAAAAACACTATACTGTATGTTAGTTGTAGACAATCTCTGTTGAGGGATTTAGGTTACATCATAATTGGGGTTTAAGGGTGAGAATGGCTGTTCTCAACTTCATTTCATCTGTATGAAGAATTCAAACGTGCACTGTGGTTTTGTGAAGAATCAAATCAGCATTTGTAAAAGTTATTGATAGTGGAATGAATTTTAAAAATTCATGGCATCACTAATAACATTGTAATATTTTAGCTATATATATGTACTGAATATCATAAAATCCAAATATAATACAATTATCTTAAAATCATATAAAACTTAGGGAATTATATTCCAGTAAAAGTACATGTTAAGGAACTTCAAGAAACATATGAGGTATTATACATGTCAGCCTTCTAAGTTTGAAATCATGTGGTTTTTGAAATTTCAAAGACTGTAAGAAAATTTATGAAAAATGTGTAAAAATGGGGAAAACATTTTATTTACAAGTTACTTGGAGATAATGAATACCCAAAGTGGCAAATACTCTATTATTTTCTAATTAAAACAAAATTTTGCTGTTACACATATATTGGCACAGGAAAATTTTGAGATTAGATAATGGACACTTTCAAAACATCGTTATTTCATGTAGATAATTGATTTGTAAAACGCACAGGAGAGAAAGATAAAAACTCTAAGTAGAAAATATAATTTTATAGCTACATTTTACAGAATATTCCAAGAGATACCATTGGTTATTTTATTATTTGGAAAATATTACTTATTTAACCAACTAAAAAGAAACTTTAAAGCCCGATATAATTTCAACATTGGAAAGGTTAAATAACAGAAAAAAATGTGTAGAGCAATAAATGCTATCTTGATGCCGTTGGTATGCCTATACCATTGAACAAGTACTGTATGAGGTATAAACATTGCACGTAAGTCTACACTGAGGATTTAGATTATAGCTAAACTGGTTGTATTCAAGGCCACTAAAATACCAAAGGAAGATTATGACTACTAACAATAAGAAGGAAGAAGAACCAAGAAAGCCCCACAAACCCAGAGTTGAAAATGACGACTCACTTAAGATGAAAAGCCACCACTCTACGCATTTTTCACTACTTCAGGAAACAAAACAAGACATCCCTTGGGCAGCCCTGTCCTCATGAACTGAATTTACCAGTGCTATAATGGATATCGGAGGCCTTCATGGCTGTATACTGTCGATGTGTGTTATGTTTTAGAACTTGCTTACTTCCAATAGGTAACCCAAATTTCATACTAAGCAAGACCAGAATTCTTCAATACCACGTAGTACTTCAAATTTATGTATTTAATTGAATGAAGTGTTGAAAATTGTAGGTGTCAGAAATAATGCATTAACTGCTTACATGATAGGGTTCAAGTTTAGTTGTAACTTAGTCTGTTGGTTGGGAAATTGTTTTCCATTTCTACAAACCAAATAATTCTATGACTCCTGCTTTGTGAATGATTTCCTTCTACCATTAAGTGACAGTCTTGGAATCCATTGTTTCAGTGATTTGCGATATTTGGAAGAGCTGAACACTACAGGAAAATAGTAGGGGTTTCACAATAGTTGACTCAACATTATAGTTGTATCAGTATTTTACAATGCTAAACTTAAAACATGTCGACTCTAAAGCACAGAGCTGGCCTTCTGGGTGAGAAACACACTGAAACCGAGTTGTGTTACATGTAGCCGTGGAATTTTCCAGGTAGAACAGGGTTGCTGATTCCCAAAGGCTTTGTACAGTAACACAGTATAAAAGCGACTTTGTGTCATAAGGGAGGGCACAACTGGCATAAAAGGTCATTAAATGCTAATAGACCTGTTGAGGTATGGTTGCTTAATGGAGGATAGGAGCAATATACACATGAAGATCAGCACACACATAGAATTTAAGTACTTAAGGTAAGAAAGACAGAGAAGCTGTACATAACCACTTTCTCAACAGTGATCATTTTTCTAAATATACACAAAATTGTTCTATGCAATAGGAATGTTGATCAAAATAATTACAGAAAATAGTGAGAAAGGCTGTCACTGACTTAAGAGAATTTGCCAAGTGGTTAGTTTACAAGTGTATTTTTGTTAGAAATAAGCTTAATGTAGTAGAATAGATCATTCTTCAGAACACACACACACACACAAAAAAAAAACAGTTAAGAAAGTGAGCTATAAAGAAGGAAGGAAAACGTTGAGACAAACTCTTTGAAACCTCTTCCAAGTATTCACACGTTTATAAAAAGAGTTAAATTTCCTTTGAGCTGAAGAGATATTTTGCACAGGTGCATGTACAACATACTATATATACACATATGGTGCTTCCTTATGTACATACGCATATGTACATACAATCTGTACATCTTTGCAAGTGTATACACAGCTTTAACTCAAAAAAAATGAGTTAGCAACACAATAGTCATTTCCAGACAATCCAAGTGCTGAAACAAATGCTGCAGAATGATTAGAGAGTGCTTTTTATCTCTCCTGTTGTCTGTAGCTGAGACTAAGACTCCCTTCTGAAGACTTTTTACTTTCATTGCAACACTGATTGTCATAGGTAATCTTTGTGCTTTCGCATAATGCCCATTCTGGATGTACATATATTCACATACAACATTGGACATGTTAAATAAGCATGCTGGAACACAGGCGGGACCATATATCCATGCACAGAATATTCTGAATGGGGTTTTCCAAACTGACTGCAACGTGAACATGCACCCACTATCATGTTTGGTCCTGAACAGCAGGGGATGTACAGCTGAAGTAACCAGGGCAAGCATCACTTGCAAGTGTTCTTTACAGAGAAATATCCAGTAGAAAAACAAATGTGGAGTGAATGGAAGAAAGAAAAATATCCACACTCCCCACACACCGATAGACAAAACAAAACAAAACAAACAAACAAAAAAACAAAATCAACACTGAAACTCTGGCTAGCCTCCTCACTGCACAGAAAGCACATCCTCTCACAGAATTCTAGGTTGAGTCCTCTATAAGTGATGCATATTAGTGCCTCATGGCTTTTCCCAGCCACTGGAAAAGCTCATCTTGATAAAGCCTTTTCCAGCGCACATTGGCTTCCACGGTTTCCACAGCTCGTGAGAAAGAAGCAGATGCCACGCCATCGTAAGTCTTCATGAAGTTCTTTAGCTGGAAATGGAAATTGAACATGGTGAATCTACATGTTATGAATTATGTGGAACGCGCACAAATCAGAATGTGCTTGAGATGAAGCATCATATGGAAACCTAGGAAAACCTTCAATGAACCCTCTACCTCCACTTGCTTTGAGTTACACTCGCCTAAGCACCACATCCGTGGTCTGCCACTGCTTTTGCCCAATGGAGCTCACATATCTGGTATGTTGGTGATGGCAGCACTCCCCTTCCCGGAGATACTTTTCAGGAACTTGAAGCTGTGTTTGTTTAACCTACGGGTATCACTTAAGCCTCAGCAGATGTCTTCTAGATGACATTTTGATATTTTTAGGACCAATATCTCTCCCCAACAGATCATGTTAACACTGGCAGTTTCTGAACAGGTATCCTATGAAAAGCTATACAGATTAATTCTGAATTAACAACACACTGATCACTTTATTCACCTTGTCTATCTACTCCAACTATTCTTCCCAAACCCTATCCTCATGTTGGTGGGTTTGAGACTTGTTTTTACCCATTTCTCAACATGTGGCTGCTATATAAATGATTTTTCTCCATAAAACCAAAATTTATTGTTTTATTGATTGACGTACTGCTTTTTCATTAAACGGGCCAGACTGGTAACCTAATCATAATTGGTAGTCAATATATTAATATGGAACAAGTTTGAAGTGAAAATAAATACTGAAAGAGGTAAAAAAAAAAATGCAAGGGTCAGAAGACAAAGTTGCAAAGTGGCTTGCTCCAGATAAAACATAGCCATCGTTATCATGGACCTAGAGAAGCTGCAGTTACATGGCAATTGTCCTATGAGATACTGGCCCTGTCATCAGTTTAATGGAGAGGGGACTTGTGAGGTGCTTCACCTTACCGGCGAACTAATTGGTTACTGATAGATTTGTGAATACAGTCACTATCTTTAGTTGTGTCTCCATGACTCCCAGCAAGTCCACCAGGCTCCAATTGAAAAATTTCAAAGCTATGGTCACAGAGAAGACTTTGGTTAAACTCAATGGGTCATGAAACAAAACAAAACATTAGATGTGGGAAAGAGATTTGTAATAAAGAGGGCACTAGACATAGGTTGGAAAGACAGAAGAGAAGATCAAGAATAAGAGGAGTCCATGCACATAAGAAATTCTGAAGAACAGTTTTATAGGTCATGTCTACACACAATGTGATCTACTCTGAATTGCACAGAAAAATTTTGTGGGCATTACAATTTCTCTAATTTCAAATTTGTTTCATTAGGAGATAACTGTATAAAGTGGAAAAATCATGAGTGTGTGAAGCCCCAAGTGAAAATATATTTTGACATGGGCACAGACCCCCAAGACCACTTGACCCATGATAAATTGGCAAAGTCAATTAATGCATATAGGCCTGGCTCAAGATGGATGGCAAAACATTCCTTGGGAGTTTGAGTATGAGTGTTTATGGGAGACTAACTAGTGTATGCAAAGATTAGGGAATGTAGCATTCTTCTCCTGGATGTTACATCTTTAGGCTCTTCCCATGTAGAGACCTTCTACTCAGACCAGCGGGCCACTGGCCCTGTGCTGTACCTAATAAACCTGCAGAGGTTCCATGTTGTGGTGGCCACCGTTGGTCGCGTGAGTCCTTTCTGATCCCAGCTTTACTATGTATGTGTCTACGCTTCTGTTATTATTGCACTGACCCCAGCCAGAGTCCCAGGACCCAAGATACACAGGGCACAACAAATAATAAAATAGAAAATTTAATGTATCTTTTAAAATAGGTTGGTGGTATAGCATCAACAACCAGGTCTAACTACAAGGTACATCCACCATAGCAAAGAGCATTGAAATTATAACACTAAAGGTTTACTTTTCTATCAGAACAAAGAAAATGTTAGTCACATTCTAAAAATTAGTAGACTAGGACTTAAAACTATCTTCAGTGTCAAGAGCTTACCAAAGTAGCTAGATGATAGAACAAAGCAGTGGTGCTATGAACCTTGTGGTTAATAACCTCATAACCAACCAAAAAGTTAGGTTTAGAAATATTGGATATCTATGATAAGAAAGGATATTAGATATATAGAAATATTGGATTGTTTACAATAAGGAAGGAATATTGTCTCATTTAGTCAGAGAATCTGAGCACTGAAGTTAAAACTTTGAAGTGCTTTGTCATAGTTTTCCTAGTAGAAGTGTTTATTTAGAGAGCTCATATACTCTGAAAGACTCAAGGAATTTGGTTCAATATCAAAACACTAGCAGCTTTGCTATTTGTTCTGTGTGCCTTAAGAAACTGGCAACCAACCAACAATTACAGTGCTAACAGACAAATGTGAAAAATCGACTTATAGCAAAGAGACATTATGTGCTGTAATTAGTGTGGGGTGTGATCCATCACATGGAGGGCGCCACATGGAGACTCTGCCGGGAAGGAGATTCTGGGCCTCAAGGTAAGATGGGGGCAGGAAGAGTGAAATGTGGAGGTACTAAAAATGCAGTTAATTCTACATCTCTGAAATAATTGGATTTTACTTTATAGACATCTTGGTTTGTTTATGATGATGTTTGGTGACTTCATACACATAGATTTTCTGAATGTTATCATCTGGCAGTGTTGGCAACAGAAAAGCACATCACAAAACTACATACTTGAAATGACATTGTACTGGCTTGACTTATGTCAACATATAAACATAGATTTATATGAAAGGAAGGAACCTCAATTGAGAAAATGCCTCTGTAAGACCTGGCTGTATCCACTTATAAGTAAGTGTATACCATGTGTTTCTTTCTGCTTCTGGAATATCTCACTCAGGATGATCTTTTCTAGTTCCCACCATTTACCTACAAATTTCATTATTTCCTTGTTTTTAATTGCTGAGTAGTATGCCCTTGTGTAAATGTACCACAATTTCTATATCTATTACTCCACTGAGGGACATCTGGGTTGTTTCCAGATTCTGGCTATTATGAATAAAGCTGCTATGAACATGGTTGAGCAAATGTCCTTGTTGTGTACTTGAGCATATTTTGGATATATGCCTAGGAGTGGTATAGCTGGATCTTGAGGAAGCACTATTCCTCATTTTCTGAAAAAGCACCAGATTCATTTACAAAATGGTTGTAAAAGTTTACATTCCCACCAGCAATGGAGTAGGGTTCCTCTTTCTCCACATCCTCTCCAGTATGTATTGTCACTTGAGTTTTTGATCTTAGCCATTCTGATGAGTGTCAGGTGAAATCTCAGGGTCATTTTGATTTGCATTTCCCTGACAAATAAGGACATTGAGCATTTATTTTATTTCTCTGCTATTCGATATTCTTCTATTGAGAATTCTCTGTTTAACTCTGTACTCCATTTTTAAAACTGGATTACTTGATTTGTTGCTTTTTAACTTCTTGAGTTCATTATATAGTCTGGATATTAGCACTCTGTCAGATATAGGGTTAGTGGAGATCCTTTCCCAATCTGTAGGCTGCCATTTTGTCATTTGCTTTACAGAAGTTTTTCAGTTTCATGAGGTCCCATTTTTTGATTGTTGCTCTTAGAGCCTGTGCTGTTGGTGTTCTGTTCAAGAAGTTGTCTCCTGTGCCAATGATGTCAAGGCTCTTCCCTATTTTTTCTTCTAACAGATTTAGTATATCTGGTTTTATGTTGAGGTTGTTGATCCACTTGGACTTTAGTTTTGTGCAGGGTGATAAATATGGATTTATTTGCATTTTTCATACTAAAATATGTAAACCTAATGAAGCTAAGCAAGAAGGAGGACCCTGGGTAAGATGATCAATACTCATTCAGAAAGGCAAAAGGATGAGCATCAGAAAAATCTGAAAACAGAGAACAGGATAAGACCCCACTACAGAGGGCCTCTAAATGACATTACCCAGCAAGGTATCAAAGCAAATGCTGAGACTCATAACCAAACATTGGTCAGAGTGCAGGGAATCTTATGAAAGAAGGGGGAGATAGAAAAACCTGGAGGGCAGAGGAGCTCCACAAGGAGAGCAACAGAACCAAGAAATCTGAGGACAGGGGTATTTTCTGAGATTGATACTCCAATCAAGGACCAAGCATGGAGATAACACAGAAACCCTGTACAGATGTCACCCATGGCAGCTCAGTATCCAAGTGGATTTCCTAGTAAGGAAAACACAGTCTGTCTCTGACATGAACTCAGTGCCTGGCTCTTTGATCACCTTTCCCTGAGGGGGGGAGCAGCCTTACCAGGCCACAGAGGAAGACAATGTATACAGTCCTGATGAGACCTGATAGACCAGGGTCAGATGGAAGGGGAGGAAGACTTCCCCCATAAGTGGACTAAGAGAAGGGCATGGGAGGAGATTGAGAGGGAATGAGGGAGGTGGCTACAGCTGGGATACAAAGTGAATAAACTGTAATTAATATAAAAAAACAAATAAAGCAAAATAAAATGAAAGACTTGGTTGTAAGGCATTTGATTGATTAGTGATCGATGTGGAGGGCCCAAACCAGTGTGGATAGTTCCATACCTGGTCTGGTGGTTCTAAGTTCTATAATAAAGCTGGCTGAGAAAGCTAAAATGTAGCACCTCTCCATGGCCTCTGCATCAACGCTTGTCTCCAGTATCCTGCCCCATTTGAGTTCATGTCCTGACTTCCTTTGCTGATGAACCCTTTCCTCCCAACTTGCTTTTGGGTGGCGGTGTTCATTGCAGCAATAGAAATGCTAACTAAGACAGATATCAAAATCACTGTATTTTAAAGCAATCATACAATATCTGATGCACAACTGAGAATCATTTTACTGTTCTAAAGTTAACATATTTAACTAAAAGTATAGATATTAAGAAAAAAGGAAGAAAGAATGCTTTGAGGAATTCTTTTTGCACTTTCCCAAATTTTAGGCACTGCTCTATACAAATATGTACCATATACAATGCTTGCATGCATATAAACATGCCCAGCAAGTATCTGGATTTCAGTTTGAAATCCCATTAATACAATGATACATTTTCACTCACATTCAGACAGATTCAGTCTATGACTTTTTGCAATGAATAAAGCATTTTATTCAATTTTGAATTGTGTGATTTATTACAGAACATATTATCACAGTATATTTAATTACATATTAACTGTCAATGAGAAAATACACCTACTTCTCTTTAAAATGTGTTCTACAATATAGTATTGTTCCTAGGTATTCATTGAACATGCCAGAAAATGATCAACGGTCCTTTGGAAACTTTCAATCAGGTAATGATGTTCTAAGTCTCTTAGTGAGACAAGCTGAACACATGAAGAAAACTCCAAGCCACAGGCTTGAACATGATCTATTACTGACACCATGACAGAAAGTCAGATTATCATGCAAGAGAACGCTATAGACAGTATAACTAGTAGATCCCTCGAGTTTCATTTCTCAAATTATGATTGAAGTGTGCTAAATACCTCCCTCGTGAGCTCAGCAATCCTGAGGTGACTCATATATTGGAAGAGGAGCTAATTCATCAGCATACACCTGGCACGCTTTCCATAGTTTCCATGCATTGATCACGTAGCCTGTACTCCTCAGCACTGCCAGCACTGCGTATGGAGAGCTTGTGTTCTGAGCCTCCTTACAAGTCCCTGAGGGGCCTGTGGTGTCTAGCAGAACATGCTTGCCTGTGCAGGCTTAGCATGGATGAAGGCACTTGGCATTCTGTTCTGCTTATTTCTCAGGCTCTTTGCTAGATTTTTTTCTGCCACCGTTAGGTTTGATCTTAACTGGGTTTTGAGATACTTGTCTGTCCTGCTTTTATTATGAACAAGTTTAGACACTTTTGTAAAGCAAAATTTAATAAGTTGGCAGTAATGCTCATTCCCTCTGATTTTCTTAGCACAACATTTCTAGGTCTGTTTATTAATCTGTCTTTTAAAAACCTGTTTAAGATTGAAAAATATCTTATTTAAATATCCTAGACTCTGGCATCATAAAATACTTTAAGAGTGAAATGCAAAACATAATATAACCTTGGTAATTATAGTTCTAAATAGAATTAGCTGTTGGCCTATTATGAGGTTAAAAAAAAAACAACTTCCCTTTAAGGTTGCAGATGAAGCCTTTTGTGATGGAGGTAATGTATATTCTTTTACAGTAGGGTATTATGTTAGGTTCAGAGAAGGACAAACCACAAGGGGAAAGTGCTCAGTGGACATTAGCATGAAAATGACAGAGATATCTGGGGTTCCATGAAGTTGTACTTCTGCTAATTTAAAATTAAGGAAAGGATGGATTCCCTCATTCAGGAATATCTGTCAAATTTCAATTAAGAGTTAAACTCCAGTCTTAGGCACTAGAACAGTTTGAGGGAATGCACCATAAAACAAAATATGTTTCTCTACATAATCTCTTTGAAGCTGATAATGGTCATTGAAATGTTAATGATTTTTTTTTTTTTTTCAGAGGACTGGAGAGATGGTTCAGCTCTTGAGAGCATATTCCTCTTGCTGTGGACCCAAGATAAGTTCCCATCATGCTCTTCAGTCAGCTCAAAAAGCCTGTAACTCCCGCTCAAAATGCTCTAAAAGCCTTTTCTGGCCTCTTTGCTGCACCTGCATTCACAAGCACACACCCATGTGCAGATATAGACAAGTCACATAATTAAAAATAAAAAGAATCAAAAACAGTTTATAACTCACGAAAGGGCTGATTCCCTTTGGATCTAAAAACTCCTCAAAGGGAAGACATTGATCTTGCCTAACACTTCTGCTTGAGAAAGGGGTTATTGACACCACAAATTAAACCCCATCCCACCTCAAAATAACACCCTTACTTTTGCAGAAAATGGTGAGGTGGTGAAGGTACAGAAAGGCTTCTGGCAAAATTGTTAGACTAAAGAGTGAGAGCAAGTAAGTCCACAGTGAAACAGCTCATTGCTCATTCCACTGAAAGCCTGCATTGTTAAGCTAGCCGCTTTGAAGATAATGGAATAAAAGCCATAACTTAGTTTCACTTTTGAAATCACAACTTTCATGATAGGGGTAGCTTGCACCATTTAAATGGCAATTAATTACAGAACAAAATTTAAATATGTAAGTGAAATGTATAAAACAAGATGGTTTGTGTGTGATAAATTCAACTAAATCTTAATTTAAAACATGAGTTTGTGACTTTTGTATTATCTAAACAGGGAATATAAGAATGGTAGACAAAGAAAAGAGGGACAAAGGTGAAAGGGAGCCAGGAGATAAGAGAGAAACAGGATGGACAGGGGAAAGGAAAGGAGAGACTGCACTTTTGTGCTCACTTCAGTGTTTGTGGGGGTTTCACTAAATCAGCACTTTATTTCTTGAATGCTAAATAATAAATCATGATATTAAAAGCACTCAGTATAAAGGTAAAAATAATGAAAGCAATTATAAACTGCACATGCCTCCTGTTTCTTGTGGGCACATAAAAGTGCCTTCTATTTTGTTTCTTTAATTAAAAAAAAAGTAACAAATTCAGGGATTTCAAAGCTAAATATTCAGGGTTGGGAACACGCATAGCAGAGGGAATGATGGGCTTTTACATCACTAGAATCAGAGCCTCAAAATCAGCCCAGTACTCATTGTGACAAATCCTACATTAGCAAAAGGAGATGCTTCCAGGAAAATGGGAAATATTAACAGGTGTGACAGAGGCTCAAGGTCCAGCACTTCTAAAGGAATGCATCTGCCAGTCACAGCTTCCAGCCTGTCATCTATGAGCACTAATAAAACCACGAGTTTCTGTGCTAGATGTTAGCTGTGTATTGTGAAAGCAGAAGAGGAAAGGGCAGCATCAATTATCATATTCAAGCAAAAAAATATTTTGCTATGCTTTTTCCTATTTGATTGATGAGTCCCCATTTCATATCCCTCTCTCATACAGACAGGAGCTAGTGAAGAGAAAGGAGACAACTAGATCTTAACATACTGAGAGATATAACAGGGAAAGAAAAAGACAGATATTCCAGAGCCTAGGCGCAAGTTCATTAAAAAGTCAAGCTTATTCCCATTCGTAAAATTAACTTGTGATGGAGCCAAGCAATTTATCTGAGGCAAACTATTACTTTCAATGTGTGTTACCACCTCTATTCCTTCTTACAAATATGAATTTTTTCCATTTAATAGACTGAATAACTTCAGCAGGCTACTTTGTCTCCTTCAGCAATGAGGCTTTTACTGGGCACCTCAGCATCAAGCACAGTTTCTTTTGCACCTGTAGTCTTTGGCATTGCTGTTGGTGAATGGTTTATACTGAGTTCACAGAGTCCTTTGAGAAGCACCAGTTGGCTCAAAGATTGCTGGAATGGTTGGTGCCCAGTTATGGAATTCACTGCATTTGAACAGTTTTCACAACCCTCGTCATTGTTCACAGTCATTCAACATGTAATATGTTAGAGATTTCTTTGCAGGTAATGTTTTAAGGATAAATGTGTGTGTGTATTTATGTGCATGTGTGCATTTGAGTACATGCAAACGTGTGTATATAGGTTTTTATGCATCTGACTAGGGGGTGGGATAAGAGGAACTGGTATGAATCTAATGTAATGAAGTCCTTGTAGCAAATTTGTAATTTTATATGCTTATATAAGAAGGTTGTAAGAAGATGTTTACCTCTTTAAGTTCGCCTTCTGTATTTAGAAATTCTGTAACTCCACTGATAAGTTTGGAATTCATAAATAATGCTTCTCCATACCTACAAAGATAAAAGAAAAAAAAAAGTCTTAATGTCTACCTAGGCAGTAATTTAAGCAATCTTGCTATAACGGTTTTTGGAGTCTTTCCCAAGGGTTGCATTTGCCAGATCAGTCAGTGATCACCAACTCTCTGGACAGTACTAGTCATTCCTTTCAGGAGTGAGAAATGCAAAGAAGCATTGATTGCCAGAGGATACGATCAGATCCACCTGACCTGCAGCACAGTGTTTCAGGTGAGTCTGAGTTTCATTGAGCTTGCCAAAAGTCCTAGCCCCTAGAATTGAATTCAGATATTTGCAAGCCATGACCCAAGAAAGGGACGCGATTTTTAATTAAAATTTTATTTTTTACATTAATTACATTTTATTCACTTTGTATCCCAGCTGTAACCCCATCTCTTATTCACCACCAATCCCTCCCTCATCTCTTCCCATGCCCCTCTCCATGTCAACTGATCAGGGAGGTCCTCTTCCCCTTCCATCTGACCCTAGCTTATCAGGTCTCATCAGGACTGGCTGTATTGTCCTCCTCTGTGGCCTGGCAAGGTGCCTCCTCCCTGGGGGGTGGGGGAACAAAGAGCCTACCAGAGACAGTCCCTGTTCTCCTTACTAACCCACTTGCAGACTGAGCTGCCATGGGCTACATCTGAGCAGGGGGGTTCTAGGTTATATCCATGAATGGACCTTGGTCCTTGGTTGGAGTATCAGTCTCAAAAAAGACCCCTGTGCCCAGATATTTTGGTTCTGTTGCTATCCTTGTGGAATTCCTGTCCTCTCTAGATCTTACCAAGTCCCCTTCTTTCATATTATTCCCTGCACTCTACCCAAAGTTTGGTTAAGAGTCTCAGCATCTGCTTTGATACACTGCTGGGTAGAGTCTTTCAGAGACCTTCTGTGGTAGGCTTCTCTCCTGTTTCTTGTTTTCTCCTTTTTCCAATGTCCATCCTGTTTGTCTTTCTAAGTGCAGACTGATCATCTTACTCAGGATTCTCCTTCTTGTTTAGCTTCTTTATATGTACAGATTTTAATATGTTTATCCTATATTATAGGTCTAGTATCCACTTATCTAGTATATAAGTAAGTATATACCATGTGTGTCTTCTGGGATACCTCACTCAGGATGATCTTTTCTAGACAATGTTCTGGTGCACAGCAATCTAGATTGTTGTAAGGGAAATGTCTCCCAAGAAATGAAGAAAATTAAGACCAGCTCAGGCATGACCAATATGTCACACAGATTCCATGTTCTGGCTAGTCGTAATAGACCTAGGAATTCTAGTAAAATTTCATAAAAGAGTATCAGTTGCTCATGTAGTTATTAAAATATCTAATTGTTTATATCTAGTTGTTATATCAGATAATTCTCATATGTTGAACACAATTCCTTGACCTATGATTCCAGGACAATGTATTTCCACGAATGGAAAGCTTTCACTTTGCTGATCTACTTCTATTCTGCTATGACATACATTACAACTTTCACACCCTTAGAACCCCAAATAACCAACAGTAAGCCTGAAGTCATGTAAGTAAAGGCCCATTATTACTAGGTGCTTTCTTTTGTTTTCCCAGCTTGTGAGAGCTTCAGAGCTTTGTCTGTTGATGGACTTAGTTCTATCATCTAAAGAGGGGATCAAATGGGAGTATTGCCATGATGAGAAAAAAAGACATCTTAGTCAAAGCAAATAGATGGGCACTCAATATTATAAACTGCCAGGTGCCATGGCACAAACCCACAATCTGACTGAGCATTCAGGAGACAGAGACAGGGAGAATGCTGTAAGTGTGAGGACAGACTGGTCTACTTAGTTTCAGGATTGCTGTCTCAAAGAAGCAAACAACCAAACAATCACTTCAGTAATAATACAAGTAAATAGCATGTGGTCAGAAAAGTGGCTCTCCATACAGGAAGAAAAACCACTTCTTACTAGGGAGGTCCTGTTGTTTTCATTTACATTCCCAGGTAAGGAAGAGTAAGACATAATATTTACCTCGTGTTTTGCAGTTGAAGACCTAGACATATAAAGAGATAATTCCCAGTTAATGTAACTAGATACAGCATTGATGAAATGATGTAAAGTACTGAGAGAAGGTCTCCAGCTCTGTAAATTGGGAGGTGCATTGAAACTGAGGACAATGTTGTTCTGAGAAAGAAGTGCCAAGCAGAAGTCTGACATAAAAAAAGGCAAGGAAGTGAGAAAACGCATGGTAATTAGGGACAAGTTGAATCAATTTTCACCAGGAAGGCATCTACTATGAAGCTGGACCAGAAGAGAGAATATGTACCTTTTGAAAGGGTCTGATGATAATAGAGTTATATATTCATGTATATGGCAGTGAGTGTGAGTACAGAGGTAGAAAGTCAGAAGACTGCTATAAGACTACTGGAGAAGAAAAATTAAAACAAAAACAAAAAGAAAAAAAACATGTGCTGAAGAAGTGGCAGGAAATAGCAAGAAATCCTTTAGGAAACATTTAAGATAGTTGAGAGGACCTTGGATCTATTATTACATATGATAAAAGGAAGGAAGATTTGTATGAATAGTTATCTGAAGGAAGAAAAGAAAGATTTTTTTTTTTTTTACTGAGGAAAGAAAGACAAGTAAGAAATTATAGGTTTAGTTTTAAGGCAAACTCCAGCAGGAGATCCTAATGGGAATGCCTTTGCTATATGGTGACATCAGATGAAAGGTGTGAGTTAGAGAGATGGTTCCGGGAGCAATAGAAGCCATGAAAGCACATGAAAACTAAAACCAGAACGAACCTGTAAGGTGAAAATACAGCATCCTAGACAGCCCTTCCCATGAGCCCTAACATTCAAGACCTTACAAGAATAGAAGCTTTTTCATCTTGGCCATTCTGATGGGTGTAAGGTGAAATCTCAGGGTCATTTTGATTTACATTTCCCTAATGGCTAATGACGTTGAGCATTTCTTTAAGTGTTTCTCTGACATTTGATATTCCTCTACAGAGAGTTCTCTGTTTAGCTCTGTTCCCCATTTTTTTTTTTATTTGGATTACTTGGTTTGCTGCTTTTCAACTTCTTTAGTTCTTTATATGTACTGGATATTAGTCCTCTGTCAGATAAAGGGTTGGTGAAGATTCTTTTCCATTCTGTAGGCAGTCGTTTTGTTTGGATGATGGTGTCCTTTGCTTTACAGAAGCTTTTCAGTTTTATGAGGTCCCATTTATTGATTGTTGCTCTTAGAGCCTGTGCTGTTGGTGTTCTGTTCAGGAAGTTGTCTTCTGTACCAATGAGTTCTAGGGTTTTCCCCACTTTTTCTTCTGATTTAATGTGTCTGGTTTTATGTTGAGGTCTTTGATCCACTTGGACTTTAGTTTTGTGCAGATTTGGAGAGGACAGGAACTCCACAAGGAGAGCAACAGAACCAGAAAATTTGAACATAGGGGTCTTCCTAGAGACTCATACTCCAACCAAGTACCAGGCATGGAGAAAACCTAGAACCCCTGCACAGATGTAGCCCATGGCAGTTTAGTGTCCAAGTGGGTTACATAGTAATGGGAAGAGGGACTGCCTCCGACACAATCTGATAGGCCTGCTCTTTGATCACCTCCCCCTGAGGGGAGAGCAGCCTTACCAGGCCACAGAAAATGACAATGCAGCCACTCCTGATGAGATCTGATAGACTAAAATCAGAAGGAAGGAGAGGAGGACCTCCCTTATCAGTGGACTTGGGGAGGGGCATGCATGAAGAAGGGAGAGGGAGGGTGAGATCAGGAGGGGCTTATGGGGGGATACAAAGTGAATAAATGTAATTAATAAAATTTAATTTAATTAAAAAAATAGGAGCTGATAAAAGCATTCCTCCCTGTGAAGTTAGGCCCCCCTGCCACTTACAGACTGAAACTCTCTACCTTTTAAATGGTTGCCATAGGTTCATAGAGACAAAACAAGCATGCTGAGAAAGAGAGTAAGAGGAAATAACTGACATTTGTCTACATATGGATTCTGCTGAGCTCTGGTCTATAAAGCCAAAGAAGAAATTGGTTTGTTTGTGTTTTTTAAATTCTTTAAACTGAAATACTCATATGTATTAGTTTCACCTCACTGACTGTTACATGATTCATTATAAACGTAATGACAACATAAGTTGTAATTTTCCCATCATTCTAAGATATGAACTGCAAACGCAGAAATGTCAGCATGTCTTACAGCTATATCAGTGGTTTCTGACAATAAAGAAGCTGTAGAAGAAAGGTATGCAGCTGTGACAACCCATTCTGATGAACTTGTTACGCAAGGGTAAGTGATAAAGGAGTGAAAAACACACAGTGGTTTTCACATCAGCGTTTAAGAGGCCAAATGTTAGATCTGCTTACTATCTGGGAAATTTTATGTTGAAGAATAACACGCAGCATTTACATGTTCTATAATAAATTTAATTTTAAAATACCATAGAGATTATCAGAGACATAAATTAGCATTTATTATAATATATTTAAATGCATAATGAAATATTTTCTAAAATTGAAGCTGAAGAATTCTCACCACGAAACAAGATCTCCTGGGAATTAATTCTACTGCAGCTGGAATAATATAATGGTCCAAATGATTAATGTTTCTTCTCCGTGTCACTATTTTATTTAGGTGTTTGATATTTACATTTATAGAGAATTTAATACAATTCCACAAGAGTGAAGTTTCTTGTTGGAATAGCATTTCTATGTGATTTATAGTTTTTTTCTATAATATATACAGAATTTACAAATTTTATGAAAGTATTTTGACTTTATGCAGTTTGATGAATTTCGAAGCAAAGTTGCCTGGTTAAACATTTCTTACTCTCTCCATGAATTCACATTAATTAAAAATATCAATCTTTATTACATGAAGAATGTTAGAGAAATCGTGAATTTCAAGGAATGGCAACAGCCATCTTTGCGGAATATTTTAAAGTCTAAATTTACCATTTGGTTCATAGACCTAACAAAAACCTTGTGTGTCTATTCCTCAAATGTTGTTATTCATTCATTCATTCATTCATTCATTCATTCAGAAATGAATAGATTGTTATCTCTACCTGGTATTTAGTATTTTCCATTTGTCTCTGAAAAACTTCCAGGCAAGGTCTCGACCATGTGGATTTCTGGCTACGTGGATTATGACATCAATTGCATCTTGATCCAACACCACCTCAGAATTCAGAGACAGATTTAGAAGCCTATAGGGATAAAATTGTGGGTAAACTTTTAGTCTAAAAGATGTAAACATTTTATAATCTTAATTAAAAAAACTCACAATTGTCTTTAATTAAATTTTTATTTTTTTAATATTAGTTACACTTTATTAACTTTGTATCCTAGCTGTATCCGGCTCCCTCATTCTCTCCCAATTCCACCCTCCCTCCCTCATCTTCTCCCTGCCCCTTTCCAAGTCCACTGATTGAGGAGGACCTCCTCCCCTTGCATCTGACCCTGTTTTATCAGGTATCTTCAGGCCTGGCTGCAAAGTCCTCCTCTGTGGCCGAGCAGGGCTGCTCTTCCCTTGGGGGGTGGGGACGTCAAAGAGCCTGCCATTGAGTTCATGTCAGAAATAGTCCCTGTTTTGTCTTATTCTTCAAAAATACTTAAGTTGAAACTTTCCCAGTTAGATCTGTGCAGGGGTCTTAGGTTATTTTCATGCATAGTCCTTGGTTGGAGTATCAGTCTCAGGAAAGAGCCCTCTGCTCAGATTTTTTGGTTCTGTTGCTCTCCTTGTGAAGTTCCTGTCCTCTCCAGATCTTACTGTTTCCCACTTCTTTCCTAAGATTCCCTGCACTCTGCCCAAAGGTTGCCCATAACTCTCAGCATCTGCATTGATAGTCTGCAGGGCACAGCCTTTCAGAGGTCCTCTGTGTCAGGCTCCTGACTTGTTCCCTCTTTTCTCTTTCTTCTGATGTCCATCCTTTTTGCCTTTCTGGATAGGAATTGAGCATTTTAGCAAGAGTCATCCCGCTTGATTAGTTTCTTTAGGTGTACAGATTTTAGTAGGTTTATCCTATATTATATGTCTATATGAGTGAGTATATACACCATGTGTGTCTTTCTGCTTCTGGGATAGCTCACTCAGGATGATCTTTTCCAGATCCCACCATTTACCATTTACAATTTCATGATTTCCTTGTTTTTTATTCATTGTGTAGATGTACCACAATTTCTGTATCCATTCCTCCACTGAGGGGCATCTAGACTGTTTCCAGCTTCTGGCTATTACAAATAAGGCTGCTACAAACATGGTTGAGCAAATGTCCTTACTGTCTACTTGAGACTCTTTTGGGTATATGCCTAGGAGTGGTATAGCTGGATCTTGAGGAAGGGCTATTCCTAGTTGTCTGAGAAAGCGCCAGCAGTGGACGAGGGTTCCCCTTTCTCCACAACCTCTCCAGCATGTGTTGTCTCTTGAGTTTTTGATCTTAGCCATTCTGAAGGGTGTAAGGTGAAATCTTAGGGTCATTTTGATTTGTATTTCTCTGATGGCTGATGAGGTCGAGCATTTCTTTAAGTGTTTCTCTGCCATTCGATATTCTTCTATTGAAAAATCTCTGTTTAGCTCTATGGAAGTTCAGTATCCAAGTGGGTTCCATTGTAATAGGAACAGGGACTGTCTCTGACATGAACTGATTTGTCCTGCTCTTTGATTACCTCCCCCTGAGGGGGAAGCAGCATTACCAGGCCACAGAAGAAGATAATGCAGCCACTCCTGATGAGACCTAATTGACTGGGATCAGAAGGAAGGAAAAGAAGACCTCTCCTATCAGTGGACTTGGGGACGGACATGCATGCAGAGGGTGGAGGAAGAAAGGGATTGGGACGGAGGAGGGAGGGAACCACAGGGGGGATACAAAGTGAATAAAGTGTAATTAATAAAGAATAAAAAAAATGGTTGGTTAAAAAATATAAATATATATAAAATACTAAAGGTAAATATAGCAAAACTTTTATTGTAAGGAACAATGTAAGCAAAATCTTAACAATAAAGCAACACAGAGACAAAAAACTTTCCCAGTTAACAATTACATAATAATTACTGTTTTAAAGATACAAATAAAATTCATAGTATTTTCATGAAATACATTAATCTCCAAGAATATCTGTAGGATGAGAAGATCACAACTCCACTCTCAAATTCTTCACACTAAATGTTCACTTTTATAACTAAATGTTTTTAAACACACAAAATTTTATTAAAAAAAAAAAAACAATCATGAACAATGTTTTCTTTCGAGTCAGGTTGCTTTAGCCATGCCACCAAGTAGGTTTCCTTATCTTTTGAAATATCTGTTTTACAGTAACAAATTTCACATTACCAGATAGTCAAGGAAATAAAAACAGTTCTGGAGCCGTTTGATTGCAGATGATAATGTTCATTGCAAAAGAAAAAAAAAATGAGTTGAAATGAATGGGGAGGAGGTCCCCCCTATCAGTGGACTTGGAAAGGGGCACGGTGGAGATGAGGGAGGGAGGGAGGGACTGGGAGGGAATGAGGGATCGGGACACCGCTGAGATACAGAGTTAATAAAATGTAACTGATAAGAAAAAAAAATAAAATTAAAAAAATACAAAAAAGAAAACCTTAATGAACTCACCTGTTTAATAAATTCCTGTCATCGCTGCAGGTGAGAGCCTCCAGTAATATCTTTTTCTCAGAGACGGCAGTGGTGGAGTGGAATTTCATCCAGATGAACTCCCAGACGTCCTCGTCCAGCAGAGACACCCCGGTGCAGTAAACGATGTCTCTAACGTTCAGTGGAATTCTAAGAAAGCAACCGGTGGCGGTTCTCTGTTAATCAAAAGCTTCCTGGTTTTGAAAATAAAGACCTGGGCTGGAGAAATGGCTCAGCAGTTAAGAGCCCTGGCTGCTCTTGCAGAGGTCCAGAGTTCAATTCCCAGTACCCACTGTGGTGGCTCACAAGGGGATCTGGTGCCCTCTTCTGTCATAGGCCTATATGCAAGTAGAACACTCATATATGAAAATTACTAATGAATAAATAAATATATTTTAAAAAGGAAAAAGAAATTAAAGACCCATGTTGCTTTCCTAGAGGCAGCTATTTAAAAGATGATCTGTCAATGACATTTCTCTTAAAAGAATGCAATGCTACATAGTAACAATATTCAAATATACAGGTGACTAGAAACGAAAATAATGCCTTTTATTCCAAGGACGTTTTGAATTTAATTTTTGTTTACATTCATATAATTATCATTAAACAAGCGAACAAGAAAGGTGTGTTAAAGAACCAAAAATAAATTCCTTTGTATTTTCAATGGCATTAATACAATTGCTATCTGAAAGTTTGCTGTCATTATATATACACTCAGGAAATGACAAGAAAGATAGTAGTACATGGCTAACTTATTTGAATTAAAACATCATTTTATTTTAAACTCTCTTAAAAAATCTATTAAGAAAAGAAATTCATATATGTGAGGGGCTGAGTGTATAGAACTGCATCGAGTTTGTGCAGGAGCCTGGAGAGGACGGAAGAGGGAGGGCGTCAGGTCCCCCGGAACTGGAATTACAGGTGATGAGCCACCTGAGCTGATTTCCCGGAACTGAACCTGAGTCAGTCTTCTGTAAGAACAGTAAGTACTGTTAACCACTGGGCCATCTATCTAGCCTAAAGGAACTCCTGTTTCACCAGTAGAAGGGATTGAACCCATGACCTTAGTGTCATTAGCTTTACACTGAGCTAACCGACTACCATTACATTTTTATTATATTATTATTTAGAGTTAATTTCCTCAAATATTACAAATACAGAAAATCATAAATTTAAGGATAAACAAATAAAACACAACTCGCAAAGACCTCTTTCACTATGTTTATACAGTTATTATAAAAAAATAGTAAACTGTTACTATGACTCCAAAATAAAAAGTCAGAAGGGGAAAAATTAACATGAATTTTGTTAAGCTTGGCAATTCATGAATTATGAATTTGCAAGTCAACTTCCTCACAGTGGTGTTCCACAATACACCACATTTCACGGCTCTCTAAAATATTTGTCTTAAGAAATATTCAAAGACTTTTTAAAACATGAAGAGTGTGTATCTCTTTATTTTGCAATATTCATTAGCCTATTAGTTACATTTCCCATTAATAATTTGAATGTGACTACACAGATAGTCTTCTCTGAGTTGCAGTTAAAAACCTGCTTTTTAAATACCCAGAGTTTTACTGTAAAACACTACTACAGTTAAAGCAGTATGGGAAAGCAGAAACAATTCTGAGTGTCTTCTAGTGAGAGGATCAAACTCATTTTAGTGGCTAAGAAGAGCTGCACGCAGGGTAGCAAGCCATTTCACACAGCAGTGTGAACAGGCAACCATTTGTTCATCTGTTTTATTTTAGTTTATTTTTTAAGGAGGGAGGAGTAGAGGATGAGGAAAGAGCTACAATCAATAGCATCAGAGAGCTTCACAGTTTTCCTCAATCTGAATAATGGATGAGACCTGATAGGCTAGGGTCAGATAGGGGAGGAGGTCTGTCCTCCCCTATCAGTGGACTAGGGGAGAGGGATAGGGGGAAAAGGGGGAAGGAGGGTGGGACTGGGAGTCGACGAGGAGGGCTAAAGCCAGGATACAAAGTGAATAAATTGTAATAAATAATAATAAAGAAATTAATTTTAAAAATCAAAAAGGCAAAAAAACAAAAAGAAACTATCAATAAGAGTCTGTCCTTGTCAAGAGTTGGTGACAGATATCTTCCTTGAGTATGCCAGAGCGCATACTCAAATTAAACTAAGGATATTACTGTTGCTATGTTTTAGAGAAAAATTCATTGTTAAGAGTTACAACGTAATGTCACCCATATATCATCAATAAATTGGCACTTATAAAAAAAAATGTTGGGTCTTCTCCAAATACTATGAGATGAAGAAGGCAACTGCATTACTGTATGATTTATGCCAAGATACTGATACAGAACTTTGTAAGTAAAACCCAAAAACGTAAGGCATTTCTACTGAAATGAAAACTCATCAGTCAATATCAGGTATGTTAGTAACAGTTTACTTTCCAAGACAAATCCATTGAACCATTGACAGATCAAACAGAATATGAGAATAGAAGCCAATGAGTTAGGATTTCCATGGCTATATAACTAGCATCCGTATTAAGAATTCCGTGTATATAAGTTCAAAAAAATAGAGAAAAATATTAAGCACAGATGTTAAACTATAATCCCTAGAAATTTCATGAGCACTATAGTACAGCCATCAGCAAAGGTAACTACTGGCTATATCAGTTAGGCTGGCTTAGATACATACACAAATGAACAAATGGTTTGGCTATGAAAACATGTTACTTTCTAAAGAGGCAGCAGAGGCCAAAAATATCATTCTGTGGAATGCTTTGTTCTGAGTTGTTCTTCTTGTAGTCTGTGTCTGAATTACTGTTTTGGTCTGTGTGACATCTGTGTCATCAACTACTTTATAGAAGAAGGGACTCGGCTGAGAAGAGATATTTTCCATTAAAAAATGTAGTCACTTACAAACTTTTTGTACATATGTCTGTTCTACCTTTTCAGCTTAGAGATGAGTGATGCACTTTATCTCTGTATGAATTTCTTAGGAATTATTGTATTTTTTTTTATGGTTAGACTCCTTAGACCTGCATATTAATTCCTTCCACAGACTAAGGAAGAATCAGCCATTGTATTGTTCAGACAGCTTCTGGTCCATTCCTTCTGTCTTTTCTCCCATGGACTTGGTGCAGTGTTCATGTTGACAGTGTCCTAAAAGTCACTTAATCTTTTTCACGTTTCCATGTCTATATGTTTTCTGCTCTATTTTCTGATGTTTATTTATGCTTGCTTATATCTGCTGGTAAATCCTTCAAGTGACTTTTAATTCAGCTGTTCATTTCCATGCCCTGCTGGTACTGTTAAGTATTTTTATCTTTGTTGAAAGTCTTACCTTTTCTTTCATTTTATCTCAGCTTGAGTGAGCATACTTATAACAGTGATGTTATACTGATAAATAAACAACCAGGTCTATTTCATTAAGAGGGTTTTCTAGATGTGTGTGCTTGTTTCTTCATTTTCTGACTTTATTATCTGTGTGGATTTCTGCACATCACTCTCTCCACATTCCTAGAGAAGCTCCATAAAAAAGACGACCTATAAAAATCATCCTGGCTGGATTCTGGAATGACCCTACCAACCAGTTTTGTCTCAGAAAGTAGCCTACAGCTGTGGCTTTCGTTTGCTTACTCAGTGCTAAGCTAGGAGAGAAACTGTGATGTCTAACTGTCTATACCCACTGTCTTCATGCTCCCTTAGGTGTCTAGATCACATCATATGCTTCAGAATTCCATGTCTTGAAAGCTAGATGCTCTCTACGGAGGCAGACCCAGAGAAACCGGGGCATTGAGTACACAGGTTAATGCTTCTCCCAGAAGGAAACTAACAGTTGGAAGACCCGCCTACCTCCCATCTATGCTGAACATTAAGGAAGGTCCAAAGCTGTTTCTGAACTCCTTCAAGTACCTAATCTCTGTCAGACCTGTCAGAACTTCAAGACTGGTGAAGCAGACCACTGCAAGATCAGTGCATCTTTTTATTTTTTAATATTTCAATTCAGTGCATCTTTTAGAGTTCACCATTGTGAATCTCTAAGCCTACTTGATGAGAGATTTTTATGCCAGGATGATCAAAATGTAATTCTCTGAGTGTTTATGTGGACATGTCTTTTTGAATTTTATTTTTAAGCAATGTTGAGAATATCATCTTTTAGAAATACTGGGGCTGACAAGACTGTGTTCTAGCAAGAAAACATTATGTTTACTAGCACTGTCATGATACTCAATAAACACAGCCATTACTCATCTGAAAAAATGACATAATTTAGCAGTGGTCTAGGAATCTACCTTACAGCAAGACTGGCATACACAGAGCAACGAGAAGACGACTTGAAAACGAATCCATCCATAAAAGTTTGGGTACAATGATCAATATGCTTAACTTAAGTGTCCTGGTCAGGCCTTTGAAAGGAAGACGTGTAGAATGATAGAGAAAGTTTCTATGTAGAAATCTGCAGCTGTAAATCAAGATAAATTCTGTGTAATATGGATGTGCCTTGCAAAAGACTGCAGGCCTACTTTTAGTCCTGACACAAGCTGTCTGTGCCTTTGTACATGGTACACGTATCTAACTTGAAACACACACATGTGTTTGAAAAGATGATCTAAAGCCTGAAAAACAGTCTTCAGTCTTGGAAACAAATCCCCCAAGTCTCAGGAAAGAAATGGCTCAATTAGCAGATACCTGGAGGTATAATTGCATATATATTCTCTAAGAGTTAAGGCAGAGCTGATTAGCCCAAGAATGTGATTTTTCTAGTAAGTCTTCCCAGCTCATCACTTCCTCCCTTCCTTAGCTATTTGCCATATAAAGAATCAATGTATAGTTCAGAAGATCATTTTTACTCATTACTAAAAGTAAAGCAAGAATAGTAAGAAGTGGATATGCCAGGGGCCCTCAATTCCCCATGACTTCCATTGTTAATGAACTCCCTCCCCCACTTTGTTTCTAAATCTGTAAAGATGTTCTAATAACATTTTCACAAAATGATTGCTCTGGGGACAGTTTAAGATCTCTTTGTATAAACCAAAGTCATTAGGAACAAATGAAAAAGCTCATTTGTTTGTAAAGCATTAGCTAAGAAGCCCACAGAACCCATAGTTATGAATGGTACAAATGAGTCCTATGAGACAATGGGTATCAAGATTACGGAGATTGAGGGCCTCTTGG